CTTCTTTGAACATCAGATAGAAAACTCTCTATAAACCAGAACTTTTTTCTATGCTGGAAGATGAAAAGTCAGGCAGGCTTCTACTCGCTTAAGGTCGAACAACAGATGGATACAGCTGGGAGATAAAGAGACTGACTGCTCGACTTTGGAAGATGAACAAATCAGATTTGCACGACATCACCCTTCAGGCCTAGACGACTTACTCTGATACCATGTTGAACAGGAGAAGAGAAAGAGAGGAGAGGCGAGAGGACTTAGAGCCCTAAAGAATACTGCAGGCATGTGCAATATATTATTATTTATACTAGGATGGTCGTACAACATAAAAAATGAAGAAATTACAAAAGTACCCTTGCGGTACTAAACATGTGTACAACAACATCTGTCAACAAATTCAGTTTGGAACTGAGTGAACACCATGCGTTGAAAGTCTTTCACAATTTTTGGCACTTCATCTCGAGATCGCATAGGGTAAACCCAAGTGTATCTAGAGTAATCATCAATCAAGGTAATGAATTACTAATATCCAGCCTCAGTGGGTAGAGTAACAGGGCCCCAAACATCAGAATAAACAATATGAAATGGAAATYCAGATMWTTTATTTCKCAAAGGWAAAGAAYTTCTACAATGTTTACTCAATTGACATGTCTGACACTATAACTGACTCACTGACAAGGACTTTGGGAACATAACTTTTAATGACTCAAAAGAAAAATAACCTACACGACTATGCCATAAATAGGCTTGACTCTCATTTGACAAACTCATGGACTCTGTAGCCACAAGACCAGCTTTATTCCCCAACACGTAGAGACCATCCACCATGCCTCCTCTACCAATCGTCTTCCCCGAGGCCAAATCCTGAAACACACATGAAGACGGAAAAAAAGTGACTGAACAGTTCAAGGAGTGAGTTATACTACTAATGGACATCAAATTTATAGGTAATTTCGGAACATGCAGTACATTATAAAGGCTAAGGCCGAGTGGGAGAGGTATGGTACCTTGGCTAGCTATGGTAGAGAAAGAACCATCAGCTAGTCTCACCTTATCTCTCCCCGAGAGAAGGTTATATGTCTTAAATAAATTTGACTTACCGGTCATGTGGTTTGAGGCTCCAGAGTCAATAACCCAAGGAGAATAAGTGGTATGAAATAACACATGGAAGGCAGTGGCAGCGTTACCTGATGTAGACACAAAAGAGGTAGAGGGAGTAGGACCAGAATCCATCTRGCGRAGAGTCCTACCATACAATTCCAAATGGTCACGAAAGGAGTTGATAATTTCTTCCTTAGGGTCAGAACTGGGATGCCTCTCCTRAGTTACCAATGGACTAGTCTCTGTCGACGCCATATTAGCTGAGYTATACTTTTTCTAATTCTACT